AGGCTGTGTTTCCAGATGAATTCCATTAGAAAAATATCTTTCTGTATGAAGAACAGCAAATGCTTAATCTTTCAAATGATGCTTGTTCATGTTGTATTACTATATAATTAGGCTTACAACAACTGAAATAAATCTTAGAACAAATATGTTTGGTTTGACGTTAACTAAATAAATCTCTAGGAATTACTTCATTGATAATTCCTGGTTAGTGCACTGCATTAGGAAAGAGTCCAACTCTTGTCTTACCCTTTTCTGCATGACCAGTCTGTTAGTAGGACTCCCATTCAAAGGCTGGTAAACACTATGTACATGTTTTTTATAAGCTCATGCTAACTTCTGGAAAATATGTGTGGGCACATGAGCTGGGCACATTGAAAAGAGAATGCAGATGTTTCATCATTTTCACTTCTTTCTGTTTTGTGTATGCACATGCAAGCGTGTACATGCAGATGTACACATTTTCCTTCTTAAGAAGGACATTCATGTAACCGGAGTCAATAAGCACTTGCCTGGAGCTGTGTCACTGCCCAGAGGTGCACAGCCCTCCTAACCCATAGAAAGACTCAGGGTGTCCTAAGAATGTGAGCAGATTGGGTCACCATGACTTTTCTTATCACTAAGATGAAAATCTTAGTTGAGAAAGCAGCAAGCTCCTGTTAAAAATTTCTCCTAGCTTATAATTTGCTTTTCATCAAAAGAGAAGCTGTTTACTCTGTGCTCAGCCTTTTTTTTTTTTTTTTTTCCTTTCTGGTGAATAATTTCTTTAGGAAAAAAACACTGCTGTTATGTTCAATGTGTCACGACTCTGTTTTATTGAAAATGAGGCTTTGACTGCATCTTTTAAAGGGCTGCTTTTTATTCCAAATACCTTTTGTATCTTTCTGAACCAAACTGCAGACTGTCAGTAGATAAGGTGGTTTCTTTGAGCCTCTGCAAGCTGTCTTGAAACATAACAATTGCTGGCTAAAATGATGTTGCTGTGGATGGCTAGGATGATGTCCTTGCATGGTTAAGATGACATTCTTGTGCATTTCTAAAGCAACGTCCCATGCATGGTTGGCTCTGCAGAGGGGAGATGTCCATGCAGGGTCTTTATGCATCAATTTTATTAGAAAATTACAGTACTACAATGTTTTTTGATGGGTTGTTACATTCTCTCCTAATCGTCCTTTGATATGTCACTCTGCTCAGGTGCTTCCATAATAAAGTACCACAAACAGAGTGTTTTAAATAGTATAAATATACTCTTCACAGTTAGAAAAGGTCAAAATCTGAGACCAGACTAACCAATCTGAATCTGTTCTACCTTTAAGGATCCTAGAAAAGAATCTGTCCTCAATTTTGTCTGTTCCTGTGAGGGATTGAGTTCCATGATCCATGGCAGCAAAATTCTATTTTCACATGGCACTCTCCTTACTAGTGGTGAGTCTGTTCCCAAATTTCACCTATTTAAAAGGACACCAATCACACAGGATTAAGGACCTCTCCATTCCAGTGTGGCCTTCTTTTAGCTAACGACATCTGCACGGACCCTAATTCCACATAAGGTTATATTCTGAATTAGTGGGTGTTATTACTTCAACAGGAGAATTTGGAGTCAAGAGCACAGATTCAGCTCATAACAATGAGGAATGTACCTTTTAGTTTAAATGCATTTGGTATTTTTGAAAAATTTTCTGAAACTCTGAAAAGTCAAAATAACAAGGCAGGTTACTCTACTAAAAACGAGTAATTCCCTCTATTTAACCAAATCCTTTATATGTCACAGCCTGCAAAGTGGAACAGCTCAGGATAGAAGGTCTGAATCCTTTGAAAATGTCCATCAAGGTCAGCAGCGGTGACCAAGGGCATCTCACGATCCCCAGCACCAGATGGCTGGGATGAGGCTGGGACTCCTTCCTTCAGCTCACACAGCACATCACTGCTGCAGCTCCCTCCACTGTGCAGATGGGGAAACTGAGTTAAGAAAGACAGCTGTCAGTGGCAGTGTGGGGCAAGGCCCCCCTACCCCTATTCTATCCAACCTAGGGGGCAGTCAGCTTTCTTCAGGTTGTCAGAAATCCACGAGGTGAACGTATCCCTCTGTCTTCTTTCCTTTCCTCTTTTCTTCCCTTTCTAGAGAAAAGAGATCCTTTTTAATATTTAAGCGATGTGAGCACAGAAGCACACCTTTTCTGACTTGTTCCGGAAGGAGGTAGGCACTTGGTGTTGAGTTACACTGAGTTTGAGACCCATTCCTCCCCGTATCATTATGATCTTGTGACATGGGACCCTGGCAGTACTTCCCACTGCTTTACTCAGTAGGGTTTGGCTCATTAGAGGTCCATTTCCAACAAAGATATCTCAGCTGCTATCTCTGCGTGGAAAATGATGCTGGTGGATGGTTTTCTTGGAAAATCGACTTTTTCAGATGTCATCTTGGGATTTAGTTGAATTGAAAATGCACCCAATGCTGCTAATTTCTTTGGTTCTTTATTGAAATCTTTATCCTTGCAGGTATTTTGATGTAATCATCACTGCCTTTCAGAAAGATTGTTCCTGTTTTCTCCAATTGTTCATGTTTTCTAATGGAAGGTTTTTAAATGGGACTAATATTTTCCCAGATCTATATTGCCTCAGGAAAGTTCTCTTTTAAATTTTATTTTGTACCTTGAGTCCTAAGCAGCCTATTTGCAAATCTTTTTTGTTTCTATCCAAGGGTCGCATACTATACTTCTGCAGAAAGCTCCTAGGGAAATGAATAACCATCTTAGGTAACAGGCAGTACTGCAGAATGAATCAAGTGTAGAAATGCAGTTCAGTCTTGTCAAATTCTCTGGTAATTGCTGTTTCTTCAGGCTTCTGTACTTCATCTGTGAGGTAGCTGGGTGAGATTCAGTCCAGATACCCATGTTACACTCTTTTCAGTAGTAAGCCTTGTGTTTGGTGACAGCTAATTCTGGCCATATTTTTAGCCTTGTTTGAGTTCTCTGTGGTTTCTTAGGAAGCATAGCCACACAGAAGCAGCCTCATCCAAAGTTTTTTCCTTTTTTACTTCTTCCTCAAATTAAAAGACCAGTATTTTCTTCAGTCTGCTGGTTTTAGAACACTTCTAGAAAGTTCCAGAAACTGGTGGTTTTGCAAAACAATTAAGAGTCCTGTTTCATCTTTTCCTCCATCCCGTGCAGGAGGTAATACTTTTTCAGTTATCAGATTAGACAGTCTTCACATTTCATTAGCACTATTTTTTGTGAGTGGCTTCTCTCACTTTATTACTAGAAGACCATGTAACTTTGTCTGTTATGAATCTGTGACCCTTGACAGTGTCTCCAGATTGCCTTATTATGGCTAATGTTTAGGAAATCTTCCTTAGGCCCTGTCAATTAGCAAATGCTCAGTTTGACAATAAATGGTACTGTTGTTATTTTTTATTCTGAGCAGAATTAATTTCCAAGATATTTATTAGTTTTTGTTTTGCCTTTTTGAGACAGTTTCACTATGCATTCAGACTGGACTTGAACTCACTTTTGTAGCCCAGACTGGCCTTGAACTTGCAGCAATCCTCCTGCTTCCATCTCCCAATTGCTGGGATTATAGGCATGAGCCACCATGCCTAGCCACTGGTAGATAGATAAAATGACTATCATAAATCAGCCCTAAGTACTCAACTCCTCTATTAATTTCAACTTCTTTATTTTTGTATGAAATATCTGGAATATGGATTTTGTTTTTTGGATAATGAATTAGATTTCATGGTGATTTTATACAGGTGAAATAAAAAAAGGGTTGGTAATTATTAGAACCCGTAAGTCATTTTCTTAGATATTTGTCTTAAAGATAAAAGCATTTGCTACTGAAATGAACATACTTCTTCCCAGAGCAAAATTAAATTGTATTAGACTTGAACATGATTTCCCAAGAGAGGAAACCAAAATGCTTTCTGATTAGCACTCAGGGAGATGAATGTGTTTTCCCACACATATGTCTTTTCTCCCAAGACAAATGTAGAGAGACAAAAGGATCCCCTGTCAAAAATAAGAACTAAAGGCAAGAAATGTTCCTCTACACGATTGTCCTGGTTAATGTTCCCCATTTGGAGAACCGGAAGTCATTGGCTAGAGTCAGGCAGGAAAATGGGACTCCACCTCTCCTGGTGGTCTCATCGATGTGTGTCTTCAGGCGATCCTCTATCTCTGAGACAGTTTTCTCATCTGTGCAATGGGACTGTAATATCCATCAGATATAAACAAATCACGTGTATGATGCCTGTTTGAATAAGTTTCTCCCCCAAGAAATCCCTGCCCTATGTTCAACAGGTCTGCAGTTTAGAGTTTAGCAACTCCTGTCTCTAGATATATTCTCTCTCTCTCTCTCTCTCTCTCTCTCTCTCTGTGTGTGTGTGTGTGTCTCTCTCTCTCTCTCTCACACACACACACACACACACACACACACACACACACACACACACATACACCGTGAGGAAACAGGGGCCAGCCCAGAGTCCCTGCAAAAGCCCCTGCCACAGCTCAGAGCAGAAGGCAGCCACAGGCTGGAGGTCAGAGCGCCCTCTGCCCGCTCTCCGGCCGTGGCCTCTCCGTTCTCCTGCGTGTTGCGGTCCCCGCCGAACACGTTGAGTTGGGACCGCGGGGAGCCACCCTGCTGGGTCAGCGGCAATGCCTGGCGGGCGAATCCCTGAACCTTGATTCAAAAGACGCAGCAGTGCATCTGCCTCCTGCCGCGGCCGGCTGGGGTGGCTTGGGTCTGGGGTCTCAGGGGTAGCTCAGGGCTTAAGAGGAATGGGTCTGGGGTGTAGTAGAGGTGGCAAGAGAGGGCAGACCCTGTCTCTGCGCGCCCCTTCCGCTCCCCAGCCCTCGGTTGCTAGGCAGTTTCTATGGCAGCCGCATCCTCAGACTCAACTTTCACCCTCATTTAGAGCCAATTAAGGTAAAATAGTGCGGGGGGTGGCGGGGGGAGCAGTCGACGCGGGAGGCAGGAGCTCCGGGCTGCGGGGAGCACCTCTCTATCCCAGACCCGCGCAGGCGTCCTCTGCAGCAGGTTACCTCCTCCTCTTCCACCTTCTCCACCCCCCCACTTCTCCTCCTGCTGCAGCCCGGGCAGGACCAGCAGGAGAGACGCCGGCAGCCGCACCGAGACTCGTGGAGGAACCCTGCCCAGCTCCCGGAGGGCCGCCTGACTCGGCCCGCTGCTCCTGCAGGCTCCGCCGTGCGCGGCTGTTCTCCGTTCTTTTCCCAGGCTGCTCGGTGCTCGGTCCGGGACGCTTTTTTTTTTTTTTTTTTTTTTTTTTTTGCTTTCTATCAATACTTGATCAGAGGAAAGGAAAGTTTTTTAAAATGCCGATTGCACAGTTACTGGAACTATGGAAAAAGATAGAGGTGGAGCCCATGGAAATAGAGGTGAGTACAGAAAGGGGGTGAATGCACTTTTTCCTAGTATCCTGAAAAAATCGACTCTGGCAAACGGACTGATACTTAATGTAACAAATTAAGATTTACTGAGTGGTTATTCCATGGCAGAGACTTGGATATTCAGTGTGCATAGATGTCTGCGTTTTACATACATGTATATAAACCTTATGTACACTTGTACCCATGTGGCATTGTGTGTGATGTAAACAGGTAAAAGAGACCAGTAGGAGAAAAATGCTGCTCTTAAGCCATCCTCCAGGATGCTTCTCACAGTGTGTGTGCTCTGGTGTCTCCAAATGAGTCTGCATCAGTTTATGGTTCCTTCAACAAGTGGCTTCAAATTGTAGACCTCCATTTGCTACAGTGAGAAAGAAAGGCCCATCAAGAATAGTCAGACCAGAGGACCCAGGCAGAGCCACTCTAAAAGGATACATTTTCAGATAAAGAGGGACAACTAGGGAAAAAGCAAAGAGACACAAGTCTTAGGAATGCATCCCAGAACTGGAGTGCAGGAGACATTGCTAGCATTAGACTCCCAGGAAATGAAACCTCCGTTCCAAGGAATTTTATTTCCTCCCTTTGAATTAGACATGACCAACACACATTTTTTTTTCTGATAGTTTTCTCAAAGTAAGTAACAGCTATTAAAATTTTAGATTTCCTGTGCTTTGTTGATAGCAGCTCAAGTTGCATTTAAAAATAATTTTAATAACTTTCTAAATTTCCTGAAAATCCAAGCTGTAATTTCTGCCTCATTTCCTACACCCAGTGTCATACTTATAAATTCATTGCTATTTTAAACTGTAGTTATCATTATATATTTGCAGTGTTTATTGTGTTATTCACATAACATCATTTTAAACTGAATGAGATTCTTGTTTAGAAGAGAATTTACTTAATATTACATATTTAATACTTTTCTGGGTAGCCAAACTAAGTTGATAATCCTTGAAATAAGTACAGGTATTTAACAAGGTTGTCCAGACCAGCATAGACATCAAGCCTATTTTTTTCTAGCTGGAACAGTCTGGAGATGGAGGAGGGAATACCAGGCTCTGCTGCTATTGGTTATTCTGTTTGTATGTGGTGCTCTCCGAGAGTTGAAAGCAAGCCTTAATCACAGCCATTCACCTCAGGGGTTACCAAGTCCTTTTTTTCTTTGGAGAGATTTGATTTTTCTAAAAATTGACTTAATCAATGAACAAATAATTCTGGCAGAAGTTCTTTTTGTATCTCCTGGAGCCTCTTCAAGTGTTGGGGAGGGATGCTTAACTGTGAGGTCCAGGGCCCAGAGCTCCTTTCAGGGGGTACTGGACTGGGCTGAACTGGGCAGGGCAGGGCTAGTGGGAAGGAAGGAAGCTTTGCAGGAGTTCCACCTGGATTTTGGACTTGACAGTGTGTCCAGGGATAGGCCCCTAGGAGCAGCTTGAGACTTAAATATTTCTCAAGTTAATTGAAAATGGAGTAGCCACAAACAGATTCATATTATAAAAATATTTCCTCACCCTGGAAAGCTCTTGCAAATTCAAAGGACTGGAAGCAAAGTCAATGATATCCAAACTGCACTGTGGCCAGGGAGAGGGGAGATTGTAAATGTTCTTGTGACTGAGCTATGTAAAACCCCACATAGAAAATTTGGGTGAATTAGCATCTGAAGCTTCCTTTAGGTTCTTGGATGACATCTTTATGATGGAATTCATAGTTATTTGGAGCCAGAAAAACCTAAATTCTTTCCACAGAGAGATTAACATTGATTGCTTGGTATTTCAAGTTCCCAAGGAACCTTCCAAATCCTCAAAAATGTGAAATCCATGTGCTTTGGACCACTTAGATCAATCTGACTCTCTTGTTTAACCATTTCATTTTCTAGGGCATTAATACTAGTTGCATATCAAGGAAGTAAGCAAATCGAAGTGGAGCACAGGTAGTCTCTGGGCTCTGAATTAAATGTCCTAGGATCCTTGTGTGAAGAGCATGCATGCTTTTTCTTATACTAACGTCTTCTGTGAGGTTTTAGTTCTGATGGTTGTCTTTACACAAATTTAGCACAACTGATTGTTTCAGGGAATCCTTTCACTTCAACCACTTCTTCCTGTTGCTTCTTCCCCATCCATTTCTTTTTGTTCATAATCTGAGAGAAAAGAGGGTCTAAAGCCCACTGAACTATAATATTGAAATTTCTTCATAAGACATCATCCAGCTTTGGCATGCAGAACAGGGGAAATCCATTTGACTGTCTACAGAAAGTAATTGTGGTGTTAGGAATTGTTTGAGATATCTTGGATGATATTTTACCCATAGATGAAATGTCCAGACAAGGGAATATGCATACCAATTAAAACCTGGGATCTCCACAACATGCCTGAAGAATCTAGCTAGAAAGAGAAGCATGTAAGATTTTGTGACTCATGTTTTAGCACATTAAAGACACATCTCACGAGCAGGACTTTCTGTTGTGGCTTTTAGCAGGGTCACACTGGCCAAGGGCACAGTCTAGAGAGAAAGTGAGAAAAGATGAGTAAGACCAGTACGCGGACCAGCCCTGAGGGTCTGGCTGACCTGTTTTATTCGTTTTCTTTCTGAGGAGCCAGCATGATTTGTACTTGTGGGCTGTCACAATGTATTAAAGAAAGGAAAAGTTCCCATTTCATGCAGTGCAGATCAAATATGATTCCCTGATGACTCATAGTCAGCAAGCATAATGCCTATTGTCTTATGGCTACTAGGTTAAAGGTAGTGATAATGACAGCAGTAACGTGGAGCAGCTATAGCACAACAGAGCCTATGCAGACAAGGGAGCATGCTAATTAAAATCTAGTACCTACAGCAAATCCCTTGGTGGGTGTTATTGCATTAAATTCACCCTGCATCTTAAGGTGGTAGGTGCTGTTATTTTCCTGGTTTTAAATCTGACAGAACTGAGGCCCAGTTGAAGCAGTTTGCCCCAAGTCACTAAATAGCAAGCAGAGACCCAATCCTGGCTCCTCCTATTCAAGCTGTGTGCAATATAGATACTGTGGTTTATGTCTATAGATGCCAGCGCCTTTACTCTATGACTTAAAAAAAAATCTTCCAGCACTAACCTGACATTCCAGACAGGAGTGGTAACAAATGCCTTCACTGTCCCCTGTGTCCGTCCTATCTGTGTTCACATCCTGGTGTCACACGAGCCCACATCCTGGCAAGCAGGAGATTGTGTATAAATGTCCTTGCTCACCTTCAACTGTGCTACAAGTTGTACACACTTCATTGATTTGGTGATTTGTGACTTTAGATCGAAAAACTCATTGCTTTTTTGCCTCCTGTTAAAGGGTCTGTTTCTGGCATGAAGTATCACGCAGTTATAAGCAAATTCAGGTGGAAAAGAGCCACAGTGCAATTCCCATGTCTTCCCAAGCCAATGCTGAGTATTTAATTAGTATTTCTTTGCACTCATTCCCTGGATGAGGCTCTTTGGAATAACCTTGCTTGCTAATTATCCTTCACATGTGTCTTTGTTGTCAGACCACTGAGGAAGAGCTCAGCCTGGATGCAGAACCCACCACCGAAGACGCCGTGGAAGAAGTAACTATATGTGTTTTACTATGGTCTGGTTGTTTGGAGGCAGCAGGCCCAGTAGGTGGAAAAGAAGGAGGAAATAGAATTTGAAATTAATGGTCCACTGGTGGTTATTTTAGTGAAATGTGTTGGCATATATACACAGATACAGGTGTGCAGATGTACACACATACATCATTTGTTATCTTGAGTGATTTCCCAGAGAAGGCATGGTTACAACACAGGAGGAGGAATCTTAAGCTAAGATGAAGCTCCTGCTCCTCTGGTTGGCTGTTTTTAGGAGGGCAACGGTGTGTGATAGATTAGTTACTCAGGGTAGCCAGGAAGAATGCCTAGTAGAAGCTAGAAAAGACAGATGAGTACCACTGCTGGGAGTTTCTCCTAGAAGCAGCTCTTACACAAGATCTGTGAGTGTTAGTGTGAATGATGGCATTCCTCAAGGAAGCTGGCAGGCCATGATCTGAGTGAGACAGTTGAGGAAGCATTGCTGAGAAGCCAAGGAAAAAAGAATACACGGAGGGTAAGGGGGAAAGAGGAGCAGAAGAAGGGTTGGGGAAGTGACATGTAGAGGAGGGAAGTGTTCATGGTTGCTGGCTGTGCACCTGTCCACTGTCATGCCACAGAGGAGCATGCTCCTAAGCGGAAGGTAAAATCCTGCCTGGGATTTCAATAAAGGCAGCTCTGGCATCATAAAGGGTGATTTGGTGATACCTGCATATTTTTGAAGGAGATACAGGGCATTAAAGAGCTAAATTCCAAAGCTGAGTTGCAGCTGGAGTGAGGAATTCTAGTAGCAGCCGCGTTTCTATCATTATAAAGGACATTCTCTCCAAGGGCACTGGACCCACAGATCACCAGCGCAGCTAACATGATTTAGCAACCTCGGGCTGCTGAACTGTGTACCATTGGGAACCACAGAAGTTGTCAAATGTGCTAGTCTGTTGACTTAAAAATAGCTGCAAAATGTGGTAACCTGGGAAGGCAAGATTGATGGATGTTTCTGGCTTCATATAGTGGTCTGTTTGGGTGCTGAAAACTGCATTTTATTTCCATCTAGACCCACACACATCATGCAAATGTAAGCCCAGCGCTATCAGATCTTATGATCAGATGACATAGTATATTGGTTAAATAAGGGAAAGTGCCATTAAGCTGCCTCATCTTCAGCTGGCTGCCGTTCAGTTCTGTGCTTCCATTGCCGGTCAGGGAGTTTGGCACTCAGCTGTTTCCCCAGCTTGGCAGTGATTTTGCTGCAGTCTTGAGAAGAGTATTTGACTTGATTGTATGTCTTGTCACTCTATGGAGACAAAGTAGTCATATCTCTGCTCATGCCAGTGCCACAGGAGTCAGAAAGACACCGGAACCAGTGCCTTTCCCAAAAAAGATAGATATTCAGTTCAAAACTGCAGTTTCAGGGCAAAGAGGTAAGGTATACCCTCTGCACAGAGTAATGGAGCTCACAGTGTCAGGGAAAGTAAAGCACAGCCATTACTTTCAAGAACACTTTTCCAGGCTTTGGTAGAAACTTGATTTCTGAGGGAAGCTATAGAATATTTACTATGGGGGGATTATCCACAGTAATTTAGCAATTGGCTTCAAGAACAGCCTTTATAGCACTAAGCTAAAATATGTGTATAGACCATTATCATTTTATGGGCTCAAGCTGAGCCACAAAATTGGGTACTATGATGTCTCAGTTCATTTGGGCTGATATAACAATATAGCAGAAACAGAACGGCTTATAAACAATGGATACTTATTTCTTGCAGTTCTGGAGGGTTGAAGCCCAAGATCAAGGTGCTGGTAAATTCAATACTTCGTGAAATATTGTTTCTTAGTCACAGGCTATATCTTCTATGTCCTCCGTTGGTATTAGTGGCCAGTGACTTATCTTGGCTTCTTCTTCTTCTTCCTCCTCTTTCTCTTCTTCTTCCTCTTCTTCTTCTCCTCCTCTTCCTCCTCTCTCCTCCTCCTCCTCCTCCTGCTTGTGGCTGAAATAAAACAGGAAAATTTGATGACCACTGAACTGAGTATAAAAGGCTCAGACCTTTTACCATCTTGAACCTGTGTAATAATTAAACAGTCATTTTATTTAGGAAGAAAATCATTCAAATTATAACCTGTGGGCCAAACACCAGCCTCAACATTGAAAGAGAAAAAGCTAAGAACAACTTATGTGGAAGAGTATAAGAGGGCCATTAGAATGATCTTAATTCCAATTACTTTGTAATTACCTTAATCAACATGGCCCTCTTGTATATGTGTGTGTGTGGGGGGGAGTGTTTTTCTTACTTTTTAAACTGTAGAACACATTTGGAATATTTTAGGCACAACTATCTTGTCATATGTTTCCTGTATGGTTGTGTCTCAATGTTATGATTCTGTCAACTTCTGGGAAAAAGAACTTTGGTGTAGAATTAAGAGAGTAAGTCTGCTTGAGTCTGAGAGTTAATGCCATGTTGTTTTTTTCTTCAGCATTGTTGTAAGAATTACTCTCTCAAGAAGTTAGGATCAGTGTGGGAGAGTTTGAGATACTGATTGCCAGGAGGCTAGACTTGGTTTGATTTCATTTGACATGAATGAAGTAGGCACCTTTACATTCTAAACAGCATGCAAAAGGCAGAAGATTCCACTAGGTAATACCTCTTTAAGGGATTGTTACAGGGGCTCAGAATACAGATAGATCATAGGTATAAAGGAAAATCTAGAAGCAAATTTTACTCTATGAATTTTGATGTAGAACCTGCTGTGTGCAGCTTTGGGATGCTGCTATTTGCTGATTTTTTTTTTTTTTTGCAGATTTTTTGTATAGTAAAGCAGGCTGTAATGCTGGGTAGTTGTGTATCTAAGGGGTTTGAAGTTTAATGCAGACAACAAATGTGTCATCTGGCTTGGATATTGTTGTGCTGAGCTAGGGCAGCAAGAAGATCCCAGGTGGTCACGGTGCAGCCTTGTCCTGCATGGTTGAATGAATTTATCATGGGTCCAGAGGCAGCTGCCGCCTGGTTGCCTGGGAAACCCACTTGGACTGTGTGCCAAGCACACCCAGGGCAGACTTCTCACTGCACTGACAGTGCATGCAGCTTGTGCATCCATGTAAGGAAGGTACAGTGTGGTGCTACCCTGGACGATTGTATCCATTTGGCCTCGTTGGAGACTCTGGGCAATGAGGTTAGAGGGAAGAATTGTCACAGTGGAGTTAGAAAAGCCAGTGTCCAGTGGCTTTGGGCTAGGAGATGGCTTAACTTGCCCATTTCCATGATGCAGATGCCAAATCTCTGACCTGCCGGCCAACACTAGACCCCTGGACTTATTTTCATCTTCAGTCCCAAAGTATTCTGAGATGCATAGGTGGCTTAGGTAAGCCTTCATTTCACAGAAAAACCTCTGAAAACATTGGAATTCATATTTCTTAAAGTGCTTAGGTTTCAGGGTTTTGTTTATTAGACCAGTTTCCTATTTAGCTAACTTTAGAAAACCAGATTCCAGGAGGTGTTAAAATATTAGCACATTTTTACTTTATTTCTTATGACTATGGGACATTTTCACTCCTTTCCCTATTCTGATGACAGAACAGGAAGCATCTGCTTGGTGAGAAGTGGCACTTTGGGTGGCAGCCATTATTTGGCTAGGGAGAATTGAAGGGGGCCCCGGACGCCAGAGGACAGCAATCTGAGCCAACAAAGACGTGATCTCAGCAGCACAGAGACAAGGGGAGGACTCTTGCAGTTCACATACAGCCCTTCTCAGGCTGTCAACAGGGTCCGTTGGCAGCTCTGAACAATCTTCTGAGTACTTGTCACTGTAGCTTCCTAGAGTGACCAGTTTCCTGATTTCCAAGCTGGTCACAGATGGGACCCTGATGTCTTCACTCAGTAGAAAAGTGAGGGAGGCTAGTAAAGGAAGAGATTGGTGGAAACACAGAGTTCCTGAAGGAGAGGGCAGCCCAACAGACCCTGGACTGAAGACATGGTACCTGCAGAATGTCACCTCTGCAGCACGTGTAGTGGCAGTGTATCATCTCTCCTAAGTCTGAGAGATAGAAGGAGATTCGCTGAGTCCCTTAACAGAGAAGAAAAGAAAGAACAAAAAGAAAAAAAAAATTGAACTGGTTTGAATAGAAATGAGATGAGATGAATAATGAAGCCTAGGAACTAATAAAGCAATTAAGAATAGCGCAATTAGAGTTTAAAAGAAGTAGTTAATAGTTTTGAAAGAAGATTAAGACAGCAGTATTCCAAGCCTTTCTTCTTATTGTATATGATCTGTGTTTTTTAGACAATGATGGTATCTCTAGAAGCTAGTGCTATCCCAGTCACAATGACTGCTTTTCTGTCCAGCAGACCAGGATTACTTCAATCTTCACGTAGGTTTTAGAAAAAGGTAGTACAAACATACTCTGTTTTAGAAAAAGGAAAATATGGTCAAGGATACCCTATATGTGTTTAAACACACAAGGCTGGGTACAACAGCATCGATTCCATGGAATGTTAGCATCTATTGAGGCAGAAATGAAGGATGTGTGATTTTGTAACAAAAATTGGTGCAGCATGGTATTTGTTGTATAAGTGGCAATTGTTTGTATGAATCCTCAGAAGACATGGAGTCTGGCTTTTGTCATGTGTAGATATGTGCTCTTTGGGTCATTCCTTTCTTGCTTGGATGTCCTTCATCACCAAGGACAGGTAGGAATGATTTATAGCTCTGTTTAGTCCTGACATCCTCATCATTTACCATCTGCAGCAAAGTCAGGGGTTGCATGACTTCCAGGATACTTTGTCAGACTGTAAGGAGATCTTCCGGCCACTGTGAACAGGGCTGGGACTCCAATTCGGATATATACTTACTTTGACTGTAGGGGAGCCACGCACTATCCTCATCTCGTACTGCAGCATGGGCACTAGCAAGGGATTGAGCGGTCTCATCCTTGGGCAGTACAGGAGCCAGTTCTGTGGTCTCTAGGGAAGTGGTGCTGTCTCTACTACAGCCAAGGCTCTCCTGCATGG